TTTAGTGAGCAAGTCTCATCGTCTGCAAAGCCTGATTTCCCCATCTTTGCAAGCCCGTTCCTTCAGTGAGCAACCCTGATTCCCCAACTTTGCAAGCCCGTTCCTTCAGTGAGCAAGCCTGATTCCCCAACTTTGCAAGCCCGTTCCTTCAGTGAGCAAGCATGATCATCTGCAAAGCCTTATTCCCCAACTTTGCAAGCCCATTCCTTCAGTGAGCAAGCCTGATGCCCACCCCATGCTCATTATTACATTTATAGATTGTCTGTCACACCTACATTTTAGTTAGGTTAAAAAAACCTGCCTCTTATTAGTATACTCCTGCACTTTCTTAACCCATAAAACACCTTCACCTGCTCTTGATATTCCAATTATCTCCAATTTTTATTTTTCACAGTTTAGCAATGATCTGTTTTCTCCTCCTCTTTATTTCCTCAGTCTCCCTCAGTATAAAAATCTCTCCTTACACCCACTTCACTCATCCCCCCATCCACATTTACATATGCCCTTCTCTGCTACACTCCCCCCTTCTCTCATCTCATGCCTTACATTCATTTTTCTACTCTCTCACTCCAACCCACAATCAATCTCATGCTAGACCCCATGCATACAAAACCCATTCACACCTCCTGTCACTTTTTCTCCTCCTACTTCTAGCAGCTGGTGGTGTATCTCCCAATCCAGGGCCCTTCACCTTCTTTACACACACTAAGACAACCAGAAACCCCACAAACCTCATCACAATACCCTGCCCTTTACCCTCACTTACCAAAATTAATTGTGCACTCTGGAATGCCCGCTCCATCTGCAGTAATTTAAAATCAACAACCATACACAACTTTTTCATCTCAAACTCACTCACACTGCTTGCACTTACAGAGACCTGGCTGTCCCCCTCTGATGGCGCTACTCCTGCCTCTTTATGTTTTGGTGGGCTACAATTCTCTCACACTCCCAGACTCAACTGTAAAGGAGGCGGCGTAGGCATCCTTCTCTCCCCTCAATGTACCTTTCAACCAATCATAACTCCCCTGCCCTATCCTTTCCTTCTTTTGAAGTTCACA